AAGTCACAGGATGCAGTCCGAAAACAGAGACTTATGGATTGACCTCTATTCGTGCGTGTGTGCGTGCGTGCGTGCGTGCGTGTGTGTGTGCGACCTGTATCTTAGACATGCCTGGACCAATGACAATCAAACTTCTCACATACATCATACATAATATTATACACATGCACACCAATTTGTTTCACGATCTGATTCAAGATTGCCGAATGGCAGCCATTTTTGTACTGAAAAATCATCAAAATCAAGGATTTCTCGGCTGTTTACAGATGGATTTTGTTCAAACGTGGTATATACATTAGACATTATAGGACCTTGATGCAAATCATTTTGTTCAGATGAGATTAAAAATGGCTGACTGGCAGCTATTTTGTTTTAATGAATGGGTTTCTAGAGCCATATCTCTGACATGCTTAGACTGATCATGGAGGTATTACCTCCATGGACTGATTATGTTCAAATTTTTTATATTCATTATATATCATGTTATAGATATATTAATGTATTCAGAATGGCTGATTTTGTTTTAATTAATGCTGTTCCAGAGCAATATCTTTCAATATGGACAAGTACTTGTTTGACGATCAGATACAAATCATTTTAATGTTGAACAATCATCATAATCATATTCCTGGCATGGTTTTATTCCAGCTATATTACAATAAACAAAACGGGGACTGTGCCATGTATGGCTTGTTAATGCAGTTTTGGGACTAACAGTGAAATCAGCAGCTTGTCTATCATTCACATTGTTCATTTAATCCACTGGATCCTAGGTTAACTTGAATAAAATCAATTTCAGATAATAGAAAAGGGTACTGAATACAAAAAATCATGAGGCAGACGTAGGTTTTGGAAGTATTATTCATAAGTTTGTCAGTCTTTGAGATACCAAACAAATCTTGCTAAAATCTAACATGCTGATATGTGCAATGAAATAGCTATCTAGTTTGTAATCTTATAAGAAAAAAATTATCAGTCAATAACACCCTCAAATCTTTTCACTGTATCTTAAAACCTACAAATCATTTAATGTTTTACAGAACTAATTATATTTAAATAATATTTTCTGATTCCATAGAGACCTCCTTCTCCTGGTACAACACCAAAAACCAGCACACCAAGAACTAACAAACCAGGAACACCACATACTGCATCTCCTGGGCAAACAGCAAGACCTAGCAGACCCAGAGCACATTCCGCTGATAGAGTAATGCATAAATCTGCTCCAGAAACCAGAAGAACTACTACTACTAGACCAACACAGTTAGCAGTCAACAAAACCACTGCACCTCCTATTAAGAAATCTATCGTCCCTGCAGCAACTGAGCGGAAACCCAGCACTCCATCACCCAGCAAAACATCAGCAAGCCTGAAAACTTCTCTTGCTACAAAACCAACTACACCAAGAAGTATGTCGACAACACCAAGAACCACAGCATCAAGAACTGCCTCTGCTAAACCCTCAGTAAGTAAAACAACTGAAGTCAAAATGAAAGCCTCTCCAAGTGCAACAAGAACAAGACCTGCTCCAAAAGCTACCAAACCCGTTAAGGAAGAGAAAGAAGTAGCAAAGGAAGAAAAAGTAACAAGGAAACCTGAGATAACTAAAGAGAAGGTATCTGATGTACCAGCTACTGAGAAAATACCCGAAACACCTGCACCAGAGGATACAAGCAAACCAGAGAAGGAGCCTGAACCAGAGAAGGAGCCTGAACAAGAG